AAGGCCTGCGCCAGCATCTGCCTGGGCCCAGCTTTGACACACACAAGCCGAGCCTCTGTAAATCTCCACAAACACGGCGGGCTGCCTGCACACACTTCCATGCCGGGGACTGGTGGGCTGCATATGGCGCTGGGTTTTAACAGCTGAGCTTTAAAAAAGTGTGGCTTTTCATCTCCCTGAACCAGCTCCCAAATTAGGCGGGGGGAGGAGGAGGGAGACAAGGAGAGGGTGTGTAGAAAAAAGGGGAAGCAGGGGGGCCACCTCCCCCCATCCACATCTTACAAGGAATTTCAGGCTATTATCTTGCTCAAGCAGTCCCTCTGCACAAGTAAACAATGCTCCCTGATTGTCACGCTCAAGTTTGCCGGTTTCAAGTTAGATGGTCTAAAAAAAAAAAAAAAAAAATTCACTTTTGGGGTGATGGGGGAATAAAAGTGAAGGAGTCTGTCTATGAAGAAATCACTAACATGCTTTTGATTGGGTTAAAAAAAAAAGTAAATTTATAAATGAGATTATTGTTTTCCAAAGTTCTGCTCAGCAAAGGGATTAGTTGCCCCAGTGCCCAGGGGGCATCCATCCCCTAGTCCTTGTAATTCCCTGTCTGGAGGTGGAAGAAGGTTGGAAAAGAGCAGGAAGGAGAAGCCTGATAGGGCAGTTTTCCTGGAATTGCCTGGAAACTTTTACTTTCTGTTTCCTCTGCTTATAATGACTGTCTTCTCTCAGCAGCCAGCTCCCCTCTCCCTCCCAGCCCCCTGTTGCTGCTCACCATCCCCAAGCTCCAGTATAAGGTTTGGCTTTTGCAGCAGGAAGCAGCTGGGCCAAGCAACCAGCGAATGATAATGACCTCAGAAATCTGCTGTTCGCTCGGCAACAATAGGGTGCTCAGTCTACTGGAAAATTGTGTTCATCAGCTAACTCTGCTCAGTTACTAATTGACATTGCCAAATATTTTAAGAACAATTGGAATGCACAAGCAAAAAAAAAAAAAAAAAGAAGAAGAAGAAAAAAATGAAGATCTTAATCCTCGGACTTAAATTTTTTTCTTTTTTTCTCTTTTCTTATTTTGGGGGCCTGGATTTGTTTGTGTGGAGCAGACAGTGGTTATGATGAATGGGGGCTGGGAGGTGAAGCCACATAAGAAAAAGAGGTGGAAAAGAAAGAAAAGCTATCATATCACTCGATGGAAATGCAAGGATAAAGGCCTTAGATGCTGTGGTCAATGGCCCTACACAGGATGGAGACCAGCATTTCAGGAATGCAGCACAAGCAACAAAAGAAGACCCGCAAGGCTTCCAGCCCAGCTGATCAAATAATCCTTGTCCATCTCAAAATATTACACCAGAAGTAGTAGGGGTTAACAATATTTTCATCTCTTCCTAGCTTCCCATTGATCGTGTAACTTAGCCGACTTTATTTAAGGAACAGAGGGTCAATGCATTCAATTACCCCCTTCCCACTGTCAAGACTTCAATTATCCCCACTCCAAAATTATGGGGGATGCAGAAGGTAACTGCCCTGTTGGATATAATGAACAGTATCGTTTCTTAGTACATTAAGTTTTAATTATTCTGAGCATGATTTCCAAAGCAAAATCTGAAGAAACAGAACTTTGGTGGTTTTCTGACTCAGAGTAAAGACAGGACCCAAGCACAGTCTTAGAGGAGATTTTAGGGGAAGACGCAGAGATTAATTCCATCGGAGCGTTTGCATGCAAGCCAGACACAGCGAGGCGTCTAAACACCCGCCCTGCTTTCTAAATGTCATAAATTAGTAAAATTTAGAAGTTGCTGCTCTCCAAATAGTTTCCTTTTGCCTTGTACAGGGAGGGCAGAAATGACATCCACGATAGTGTGAAATTATTAGTTAGTCGAATAAACCACAACAATCATAAGACAAAGGGAAAAGACCGGGAGATGATGTGTGCGGCTCGTTCTGTCCATTTTCTGTTAGAAAATATGACCTCTCAATTTGTCAGAGGTCCGAGTTTTCGCAGTTGATCTTAAGCTTGGTTCTCAGCAGTTTGGCGAGCCAAAGAACAAACACATTTTCTGGTTCACTGGAATCATTTTCACATGTTCACTGATTCAAACGTTCTTTTGCTCACATAACAAACAGCGGCATCCCACATTAGCCTAGCCAGTGACAGTCGCCCATCTCGGCAATAACTGTTTGATTGCAAACTTGACCCCTTCTTCGTCTCGGTCTGAGAAAGACATTTTTAAACAGCCACTCGGTTCCCAATCCTCCTTTGCAAAGAATTACATCAGATAACAAAGGACATGTCTACCACTCATTGTAAGTCTTCTTCTGGAGATCCGTTCTAAGAGGCTCTCTGTAAAAAGGTTTTTTATGATGAATTCAGAACTACTATCATGTTAAGAGCAGCAATTTATAAAGACGAATCCATTGGTTAAGTTCTGAAAAAATAGTTTCTCAGGCCCTACTGACCCAGTTTTCAACAAAAAAAAAGAATCAAGTGATGCAAATTAAGTTTTGCGACATTGTTATGCAGTCTGAGAAATTTGTAAAACGCTGGTTTGCAGTTATTTGTTAATAGAAGCCTTAATAAGTACTTCTTTCTCTACTTAAGGGCTTAAAGATTTTTTTTTCCCTCTCTACCTTGCAGGCTTCTCTCTAACAGGTAATAATAAAATACCTATTGTGCCAAGCTTTTCATTTAAATGCTTATTTTCATAGCACTTTATACAAGTCATACTTGTTGGAAATAAGAGGGAAGACTAACTAGATTTGGTTAAGGGTCCCAACCGCAGGAGAACTTCAATGCCCCTGACCTGCAACTGATTTGGGCTGCATGTTACTCTGCCATCAATTTTCCTACTTAGTCCTAAAATTATGAAAGAGGCTCATTTGAATATGAAAACAAAGCGATCAACCAAAAATGCAAGGCTCCGTATTCACAACTGTAAGGCACTTCAGTGAGGAAAATAAAATAAGACGAGAATGCAACTCAAGTCTAATTCTCTCTTGAGTCACAAGCACGGTTGGTTCTTTCAAGCAAAATGGGGTTTTTTTTTTTTTTTTTTCCACCGAGTGCTCAGAGATATGGAAGCAAGAGAGATAGGGATAGCACGAGGCTGTATCACTTGGCCAGAAGGTGAGAAAAACAGGCAAACACGTCACTAATGAAGCCGAACATTTGGCGTTAGAATATTCTGCGGCGACCTGAAGACGGATGGAAATCTGTCAGTGTTAACCGCACGTCACTCCAGAAACTTAGGAGGGCCAGGTTGCTCTCTGCCTTCTGCCCCTTAAAGGTCCCCGATCTACAAACAGCGAGACTATGCCCACCCCCAGGAGAAGAGAGCCCTTCATGGGAGCCCAGAAGGAGTTGCTCCTGGCAGTGAGAGGTCTGGCACTTTGCTGCCTCCGCGGCGTAGAGATACGTTGTTATAGAGTCCCTGATATCAGGTAGTGAATCGCGAAGACCCTCCCCGTGTGCCTTAGCGTGCTCCCTGTAGCAGTCACCCCATGTAGCCGGACCTCACCCCTCCATGGGACTCGTGTCCCTGGTTGGACTCTTCTAAAGTGTCTCACCAGCAATAAATTGCAAAGGCTTCCAGGGCCCCAGGAGTAGCCAGTGTCTCATGGGTATTTAAGCAACAGCACTAAGTGCTATCGGAATCTCTGGAATGTGCTATTCAGATTTATGTGTCTTAACAATTCTTTACTGGTCTGTAACAAGCCAGCAGACTCACGTTTCATTTTTAGATTAATTTTGTCCTAGAAGAAGGGTAAACTGAAGCATGACAATAACAACAGAACGAAACTGGCATCTACTTGGTAACTGTAGCAGGGAATTGCTTCCAGGGCTACAACAGTCATTGGAAGTGTGAAGGGGGAGAAAAAGAGTGAGCGAGAGAAGAGAAACCCTAAATAAAAAAAATGACCCTCAGCAGTCTGCTGCCACATCTTTAACAGTGGGCAATGCAGGGCCTTGAGGTGCCTCAAACTGTCTTTCATTTTCTAGACTTAATGGCTGATTGCAGAAATCAATGTTGCCATTAGTAACAGGGTATTTGTTATGGCATGATTTCCTCTGTTAGGCTGCAGAATGATTACAGTATTAGCGAGGTGCTTTCTTTACAAAAGGCTACAGATATAACTTTCAGTTTACTATCCATTAGTAAGGGGCCTTGGAAATCTGGATGAAGGCAACATCTTACCTGCTGTTAGGGAGCAATTTTAACTTAGGCATCTTAGGCTACTGGTTTTTTTCTTTCCCCCCCTCCCCGTACTGGGCCAGGAAGCTTCAGCATTTCACAGACGTTTTGATGACAGGTTTTTCTGCTGTGCTTTTTTAGGCCCCAGAGCTGTGTTACCCGTGCAACGCAGTACAGTGTAAGCCAGACAGCCGCGCATCTGTGTTTCAAACCTCTGTGCTTTCCTAAACTGTCAGAGGGAAGTGCCGTGGTTCTTCAGGGAAGAGGGCCCAACAGGTAGGCCATGTTGTGATTTTGGAAGCCGATAGAAGGCAAGTTTGGTGTGGAGAAGGAGCCTGGGGTGCCCAGGTGAGAGAACTATGGGAACACACTTATAGGGAAAGATAGCAAGGGTGTCAACTTGTATACCCACACCGTGGATGGAGCCCAAAGCCAGCCCAGGGCTCCAGAGACTAGGCAATGGCAGGCTGGGTCAAGGGCATGACATGGGCTGTGTAATGGCACAGGACATGCAGTCAATGACCCATTGGAAAAAGGGCCCCCTAGCCATCTCCACCACAAGGCGGGAAGATCAACTTAGTTCCCCTGTAGTCGTTGTTCAACGGAAGACCAAGAGTTTAAATGATGGCCTTCTCTGTGGCAGGGCAGTGTCCAACCCACCCAACAGACTCCATCCAACCACGTGACCTCGGATCGGACTCTGAAGAGCAACCGGGGCCCTTCTCCAGCCGAGGCCGAGTGCGGCACCAGGCAGCCCCCAAGGGCCTTCCTGAGAGCCACCACTGCCCGTGGGTACCACCATCTTCCTGGCCAACCTACCTGAGGAGGACGGCGAGGAGGGGTGCGGACTGTCCTCCTGGGCACTCCCGGTCTGGGAGAGGCCGCCGCCGACGCCGCTCTCCTCGGTGACGTTGGAGGAGCCTGGCGTGGTGGAGCGACTGACCGACTGGGACTCCTGGTCACTGCCAGAGCCACGCCTCTCGTCCAGGCAGGCGTGCAGCCCGTCCTCATCACCTTTGCGGTCCCGCTTGTGGACGCGGGAGTGCACGACCACCTGGTGGTAGGTGCGGAACACCCGGCCGCAGTCGGGGCACTCGGTGGGCTTCTCCTTCATGTTCCCGTGACCGTGCAGGTTGTAATCGAGCGCCTGGTTCAGCCCGTGTGACAGAAAATCCCGACTGCCTTCTAAAGGGTCGAGCTTATTTGGCAGGTCTCTCTGATTGCCCACTTTAGTGCTGTGAACCAAGTCAGCAGGCATTTTCTGTTTGGAGCCATCTGCTCCCACTAACACGTACTCCCGCTTCTCCTTATCAAACATCACTCCGGCGTTTGCCAAAGCGTCCTCGTGGTTGCGCTGTAGCGGATGCTCTTTCGACAAGAAGCCATGTTCCATCGCCATGCCCCTGGCCATGAGCTGCCAAGCCTGGTAGCTGTTCACCGGGTCCATCTCCGCCGCCTTGGCCGCCGCCTGTAACCGCTCGATGCAGCTGGATTTCAGTGGAGGCACGAGGTTGAGGCACCCCAGGAGGGAGTGCTTGTCCCCCTCGGGGACGCCGTGGGCCATGCTGGAGACGGGAGACAGCAGCTTCCCCAGGACCTCCTTCTCCTTCATGGGCAGCTCCCCTTTGCCGTAGAGCTGGCTGGGCTCACTCAGGCTCGCCTTGTCTGGGGCTATGAAGCCGCTCTGCAGGCAGGAGAGGTACCTGGAGTACAGGTTGGCGTGGGCATCCTGGGACATGCTGCCCGCGGGCACCTCGGGGTCGCTGGGGGACTTGTTCCTCACGGACAGCTTGTTGAGGTGTACCTTCATGTGGTTCTTCAGGAACCAGGGCTCTTTGAAGCGCCGGCCGCAGATCTGGCAGCAGTGCTCGAAGGAGTCCTTGTGCTTCCGCATGTGGCCCTTGAGGAACCAGGCCTGGCTGAACACCTGGCCGCACACCTCGCAGCGGAACTCGTTGGCTGACTGCTCCCCGCCGCCGCTGGGGCCCTGGCCCTGGGCCGACTCGGCCGTGATGTGGGCCTTCTCCACATGGCTGATGAGCTCCTCCTCCTGCGAGGCCGCGAAGTCGCAGAGCGTGCACTTGTAGGGCTTGTGCAGGATGCGGATGTGGCGGTCCAGCTCCTCCCGCTTCTTGAACTTGCCCTTGCAGAAGGTGCAGCGGAAGCCGGCCGCCGGGGCCACCGCGTCCTCCTGCACGCTGGCCGGCTTGGGCGAGGGCGCCGGGTTGGCGACGTCCGGCGTGCTGTGGTTGGCGGGCAGGGCTAGGTGGCAGGCGGTCAGCGGGGCCTGCTGGGTGTGCGGCGGGGGCTTCAGGTCAGGCCGGGGCTGCAGCAGGCTGCTCTTCATCTGCTTGTCCCGCAGGATAGCTCTCTCCTCCAGTTCATGCAGCAGGCGGTTCTCCTCACGCACTCGCCCGCGCCCCTTGCCCAGGTTGCCCAGCTTGTGGGTGCGCAGGTGGATCTTGAGGTTCCCCTTCTGAGCCGCCCGGTGGTCGCAGTAGGGGCACTTGAAGGGCTTCTCGCCGGTGTGGGTCCGCATATGCAGGGAGAGGATGCTGTTGAAGCGGAAGCGCTTGCCACAGAGGGGGCAAGGGTACTTGCGGTTTTTGCGGGCATCGTCCTCGATGTCGCTCATCTGGGACATGATGCCCAGGTTCTGCCCGTTGAGGAACTGCTGCAGGTCCACCCGCCCATTGAGGCTGGTGTCGACCTCCCGGCCGAGCTGGTTGGCCAGGAGTGCCATCTGACTGCCCATGGGCTGGCCACTCATGGGCAAGTGGGCCTTCTCTTCCAGGGGCGCAGGGTTCTTCTCCTCGGGGTTGGGACGCGGATGCAGCTCGGGGAAGGCATGGCTGAGCTGCGAGGTGATCTGGTGCAGCTTCTGACTCATGGCATACTGGCCATTGAGGACGGGGCCGCTCAGGTGGGGCTCGGCTTCCGGCGCCGCCGAGGACACTCCAAGGCACAGACTTGCTTCTTCCATCCCTGAAAGTAAAGAGAGACTTCAGAAGTGTGCCAGGCACCGGGGCGCAATGATTCAACAGCGTCAGCTGGCGGGAAATTTGCATTTCATGCCTTACCTACACATAATGCTAAGGAATGATAGTCAAAAAACAATAATAAAAAAATGAATTATTAAATGCCAATTATGCAATATGGCATTGCTCCTCCAATTTGTTTTGGGGATAGATAGTCTTCCTTGTATTTTCTATTTACAGACTGCAATTATTCATTCGCATTTAAATTATTGATGTTTTACCACTTCCAACACCTAATAACAAATCAAGGATCTACGTGTTTAACTTTTCTCCCCTCCCCCTTTTGCAGCGTCTGTACCTGTTGGTTCCATTCAAAAGTTTGCGTTTGAGCAGAACGGCTTCCCTGCAAGACCAAGTAAACGCTCACTTGGAGCTTGTTTCCATTTACAATATTCAATACATTCACCAGTCTGAGATGAAAGAGATCATTTTATGATTTGGCCAAAAAAGAAAAAAAAAAGATCCAACGGCATGATATTTACTGGTACATAATAAAACAAGATAATGTTTTGGGAAAAAAATAAAGGACAGGCTTTAGAACAATAAAAGGGATTTTGCTTTAGTCAACAAAAAGTGCAGTAATATCTCATTAAGCTGATTAGTATGCTGCTTAGAAACAGTACTAGGTGCTGTAACACATGATTATAATCATAAAAATCCTTCAGTGTTTGCAAGGAAGCATTAACGAGGTATATTAAATTTTAAGGAGACTGGGAGTAGCGGCTTTGCAAACCTCTGAGATCAAGATTTAACCCTTATGTTACGAAACACTGTTATTTTGTCATCTGGTAACTGCCCATCAAGAGAAGCATAAATTATCTCATGACGGAATCTTAATTGATTGTTGAGACTCTACTGATTTGGGTAGAGGTAAAAATTTCACACCTACCATGGACTCACCCTGTCCTTCAACTGGCAAGATAGCTGAGGCAGGGACTTTGATTGGGCTTAAAGAGATCTTTTATAGAACTAGATAAAAACCAATTAAAATCCAGGGACGATGCCACAGGAAGGCTCACCAAGTTTGAGCGTTTTTAATAACTTTCCCAACATACAGTAATGAGTACAAATTGTACCTGCAGTATGTGTTTTGCAGAAAATGAGAACTCAAAGCTGTTTGTTAAATACTAACACTCAAAGCTGGCCTGCATAATTGTCTTTAATAGTCCTTCCTGCCCCTTCTCCAGCCCCGCAGAGAAGCTAAATCCAGAGCACTCACGTGGGGGAGGAGAGAGCCCCTTCCACCTCAGAAAGTGTGGGAGCTGTACTTTGAAAGACAATGAGCCCATGTCTCCCGTCCTTCTATTTCCAGACCTGCCTTCCACCTGAAGGAGTCCAAACGCTGTGTTTGCTACCATTGGAATCGGGTTTGCACATCCATCCTCTTTTTATCCCAATGCTGAGATGTGTTGGCCAGCCAGGTGGTCCAGGAGCAGCACTCGGCCCCAGCCAGGACGAACTCCTGGGCCAAACGGCTCCCTCTGGGGGCCTATGTTGACAGAACTCAACTATGGAGGAAGCACATTCAGCCCAGGCAGGGACCAGGGCTGCGGTCTGCACGGCCTCCAGCCAGGCCCACTACGCCTGGCTTGGATGGTCTCCAACGGGAGTCCTGGCTTCCCTGGCAAGAGGAGAGGGGCTGCAATCCCATCTTGCAGTGGAGGGGAAGAAAAGAAACAGAGATGTTTGTGTGCAGGAGGGAGAGGGCTGCAAGGGTGGTGCACGGTGGTGCACCGTCCATGAATGCATGAACAACGGTACGGACACCTCTGTCCACGTTCACACACATACACACACACACAGAAGCACACACAGAAGAAGGTTCCAATTTGCCATCTTTCCTTTTTGTTTCAGGTGTCAGTCTGCATTCACAAAAAAAAAGAAAAGAAAGAAAGAAAAAGAAGAAACCCATTTTGGAGACTGGTCAGAAAGTAGTAATTTCTCACGGAGATTCTCGCAATCATTCCACAAAGTTGCTGAGTTCCCACTGTGTGCCAGGCCCTGTCCTTGGCACCGAAGGCGCATGGTGGACAAGACTGGACGGTCCAGCGTTCACCCACCCACCGCCCTGCAGGGAGGAGCTGAAGCAGGACAGCTCAGGCCGGAACGATGGCTCCCAGGGCCCTGACCACCGCCCTTTCTCCACCTTCCCAGCCCTGTTCAGCTGGAGGAGCGCCTCTCCTGAGCAAACAGGAGGCATGACCCTGAAGCCACATGGGAGTGCTCAGAATTCCACCCAACAGCTCTGTGGAAGTTTGGAAAGTCCAGAGCCAACATGGCTGGCGCACTTCCAATGACTGCCCAGTTGGCCGGCTCAGAAGACATGAATCCAGGAAGATGGGCTATTTTCAGGTTGCTGCTGATGAGCTGACGCAAATTCAGCAGGAGGGAGAGGAGCAGAATGTGCAATGCAGCAAGACTACAAATTGGGTTGGATGAGGGGGCATGAAGTTGAAGACCATCCTTCTGAGCACCCCCTCCTCCCTGTTCATGCTGAACAAATAATGCTCAACTTGTCAAATAATGAACATGGGGAATTTTCAAGTTCAGCTTAAGTATGGAATTTTCTTTATTCTACTCAAATAAATTTTTTTCTCTGAATCAACAAAGCTTCTTAAACCCTTTTAAGTAACTGGTCTTCAGATGTCGTTGCTGAGACTCCAGCTGAAGAGAGATGGAATGTGCTAGAATGTGCTGCCCGAGCTCTTCAGAGTTGGCTCCTTCTTATTATTCAGGTCTCAGCGCACATATCACCTTCTTGCAAAGGTCCTCTCTGCCCACCCATCTGAAGTCCACACCCCCATTCCCTTTCTACTTCATCACCTTACTGTCTTCCTCACAGCTTACCACCGTGGCCAAGTTTTGCTGCTGACCCTTGCTGTGAGGGTAGCGATCGAGAGCAGTGCTGGCTCACTGTCGGGTCAGTATGTACCGACTGAGGGGATGAACGGAAGTACAGACTGCTGCCCTGTAAACACAGCCCACAGGGGAAATGTCGCCATGCAGGAGAACCATCATCCCTCCAACTTCATGTGACTTGTCCAAAAAGCATCCACAATTAGAAATTATCAAGAGTTAGAAGGGTCTCTGGCTACCCACCAGGACTAGAAGCCACCAACTGAAAGCTACCTCCAGCACCAGGTCCCTCACCCTATGTGCTCATGGAGACCATCTCAGGCTTAGATCACTGCTGATAGCTCAGCTGATGGACTAGGAGACAGACAGAGAGCAATAATCTCCTTCAGAACTCAACTGCCCATCGTGGGGTCCCTGGGAGACCCCAGGATTTCAGTGGAGCTGGCCAGCTGCCAGGAGAAACCCTGGGGATTGCAGGCCTCTGCCCCTCTGGGCATGGATGTCAGTAGGAGCCAGGGAGAAGCTTGGGCACAGCCCCCTGTGAGGCAGGGCCGCACCAGACAGGCATCACAAAGTCCTGTGTGACCCAGCATCCCAGGATTCCACCTGCAGGTGCAGCCACAGCCACTGTGATGGACCAGCCATAACCAATGCCTGCTCTTGACTCAGAGCAAGAAAAGGGAGTGAGTTCTTGGAAAGAGCCTGGAGTAACTGGTGTGCTGTCCCTCGGCCAATGCAGTCGAGGCAGGACGAGCTGGCCTCAGGCCCAGCCTGGGACTCACAAAACCTGATCGGCCCCAATTTCTCCAGCCTTGACATGTCCCCATCCGGAATTCATTTACCCCTTAACACAGCCATTCAGTAAGTATTGGCCAGGGGCCTTCTATGTACCTGCCCTCAGGGCACCTGAGTGCAACAGGGCAGTCCAAGCAAGGCTACAAATAACAGAGAAGCAGTGAAAATGTGCCTGAGAGGCTGAATCCAAAGTTGTGAGAAGCAAGAAACCACCTGCAGCTGCTGCATAGAGAAGTGTGTGTGTGTGCGCTTGTGTGTGCGCGCGCACGTGTGTGTGCGTGTGTGCATGCGTGTGTGTGTGTGTGCGCGTGTGTGTACATGATGCACGACTACGCTGAAGGAGGAACGGGGATTCCCTAACTGGTAGCACTCTAGAAACATACGAATGCATACATTGAGGAACCAAAGGATCGTTTAGCCTGCTGGGAAAGGATTGGGTCCAGATGCAGTCATAAGCACTTGTGGGGCTGGAGGAGGCGGGCTCCCTGCAGGGATCCTGGCATGCTCCTGGAAGGTGTTATTACTCCTTTCACCCAGGCCTCCGGGGAGCAAGCACGGGGGAACGCCTCCCCTCTGGGCCCCCCGCAGCGAATGCCCATCCATGTCCCTAGAGGGACCACCTGTCACAGCCAGCCCCGACCCCGTATCCTGACAAACAGGGTAGACATGCACATCCACACACAGGGTGCACCTACGTGGTGACAATTCCCAGGGAACACTTCGGCTGACATGCCCAACCCTTTCTTCACTCAGCAGCAAAGCTCCTACCAGGCACCTGCAGCGCACCTGGCTTTGGACTCGGCAGCCTGTGCTCCAGGAGCTCAGGGGCCACATCTAACAGTGAGGAACCAGCAGAAAGTGGGACGTGACCCAGGGTGTAAGGAAATTGGGCAGCCAGCACCTTTTGAGTAACCTATACAACCACTCACCTAGATAGAAAAACCCTTAGCACAGTTAAAAGCAAGAAAACAAATTCCTAAACTACTGAAAGCAGCTTGCTGTGGAGCTCACGGCCCAGCTCGAAGCATAAAAGGGAGAAGACGGTCGACTGATGGAAGGAATCAGTGAAGACGGAATTTTCCTGACTGTGGAAAGGCGGCCCAACGTCCTTACTGAAGGTGGACAGCTGAAATCCACTGGAAGTGTTGTGTCTGGCACATCCTCACTCTGACATGGAAAAGCTACAACACTCTGTCCCAGTCCTGGCCCTCCTCCGAGCACCAAGGTCATGGTGCGGTACTGCTGGCACCCAACGGGACAGTCAAGCTTGGTGATGAGCCAGCTTGGGCCTGAGTCTT